ATCATCATCATCATCGATAATATTGTTACTCAAGAAGAAGAATTAGCCTCTGGATCTGTTGAAAATAATTTAATTCCTTCCTTTGATTTATTACCCTCAACTCAACATTCTATTGTACCATCACTAAAAACCAATCCACTCACATCATCACCAACAACACCAAGTAATTCAGGTTTAGTTGGTTCTTCATCTGATAATAAGAGAACCTATCAATCTATGATATCGGCACTTTCCTTAACACAACATCAAGAAGCAGCTGATAATGAAGAGGCATCATCACCAACATCACCAAATAGTACAAATAATCAGTCTTTATTGGATCAATCCACTTTGGAATCTGATAAGAAAAAGACAAGAAGAACAAAAACTAAGACATCTTCATCTTCTGCTTCAAATAAGAATTGTAGAGATGATTCTTCCCTGCGATTATTAACACGTAAATTTATTCATTTAATTGCTGATGCAAAAGATGGTGTTTTGGATTTAAATCATGCAGCAGAAACACTAAGTGTTCAAAAACGTAGAATTTATGATATTACCAATGTATTAGAAGGAATAGGATTAATTGAAAAGAAATCTAAGAATAATATTCAATGGCTAGGTACAGGTATTGCAGTAAATGCACCTGAAAATTGTGAGCAAGTTAAAATCATTCAAAATGAAATTGCTCAAATTGAATATCAAGAAAGACAAGTTGATCAATTAATTTATCATGTACAGGAATCTCTTAGATGCTTAAACGAAAGTGAACAAAATAGAAGATTAGCATTCGTTACCTATGATGATGTTTTAGATATTTCAACATTGAAGGATAGAACTGTTATTGCTATTAAAGCTCCTTCAGGTACAACTTTAACAGTTCCTGATCCTGATGAAGGTATGGAAATGGGAAAGAGAAGATATCAAATATTTTTGAAATCACCTGCTGAACCTATTGATGTTTATCTTGTGGATAGAGATTCTGATCAACAACAACAAGCTAATCATTCTGGAGATCCAATGTTGGAAAATGTTGTGACGACACCTGTTAATCAAACATTTGAAGAAAAACAAGCTAATCAACAAACTAATAGTGGTGATGATTTTATGTTTGAAATGGAATCTGGTGAAGGTGTATCTGATTTGTTCTTATAAAGTCTTATTTTACTACTCTACTTCTTAATAACTTTTAATGTGGATACATTGAGCGACAAATTTTCCTCAATAAAATCAAAATTAGGTATGATATTCACTAGAACGGCCTAAATAATAATAGATTCTGAATCAAGAAGAAGAAATGGCAAGACAATATTACAACTCCAATTCTTCAAATGATAGTGGATCTGGAGATGATATGATGTACATGACTGACGACGAGGACATGTTCAGAGAAATTAACTCTATGGAAGATTACTTCTCTCAAAGTCAAGAAACAAACACAAGCCCTGGACAATCCGATCAAAATTATGAAGATATCAAATGGGAGGATGACCCTAATGAAGATTTCCATGGCTTTACAACTCAATCAGATTCAGCCAATGTATTCTTATGTGATGAATGGCTAGTAGTGCTGGTAGAAGTGTTGAAAGAAGAAGTCTTTCTAAACAAATGGATTCATTTGCACCTCCTCCTCCAGTTATGAGAGGTAAGGAATCTTCATTGTATTCATTGCCTCCACCACCATCATCAGAATCAAGAAGTAGATCCTCCCTTGGTAATACTATCCTTCCTTAAGAAGGATGAAAAAGCTCCAAAAGAAAAAGAAAATGAAGAAAAGGCCAAAAACCCACTGTCCAATCAATCTCATGCGTCATTCTTTGCAAACTTTAAACCGAGCACTATGGTTACACTTAATACAAATCAGTTACCTGAAAATGTGAGACAAGTCTCTAAAGTTACTCAAGCACAACAAAAACCAACAGAAGATTCTACAAGTACAGCCGAAGACGAACTTGCTGAAACACTTTCCAAATTGAATATCAATAACACTGCCCTCACCACTAAATTTGATCCAAAGAAGATTACTTTCACTCTTGAAAAGAAAGGAAGCAAGGAAGTTTATGACTTGACCAACCCTTCCAAAGAGAAGAAGTCCATTCCATCATTCAATCCAGGAGATGTTATTCAATTTTCAGTTAAGAATAATAATGAGAAAGAATTTATCGAAAAGACAAACCTGATTGTGGGTACAACTATTCCAATAAGGTCGATTGTCACATTCTCTGACAAGTCAACTGGCTTTACTCAAATGAAAGAAACAGTTGCCACAAGTCAAATAGTACAAATTCCAAATATAAGAGTAACTAATCCAACATGCAAGAAGAAGGCAAAGATTGTCACAATTGTATTATTTGTTAAATTTATCGAGTCCGGAAAAGAAAGAATTTTCACAACCAAGAGAAGAATAATGGTTGTTAATAAATAATTTTCACCTTATTGATTTAACCATGTGTTATGTAAAACGCAATCAAACGAAATTCTCCTTTGCAATGAAACAAGCTATTATCATTATATCAAGGATATATTCAAGGATTTAATAAAATCCCGTGTAGTCCAATGGCTAGGATACCTGGCTTTCACCCAGGAGGTCCGGGTTCAATTCCCGGCATGGGAGGATGATTTTACCCTTTAAATATTATTATCATAAATTGTTGTCTTTATTTCTCATGTTATATTCAAGGTGATTAGAGAAAAATTGTCAATTATTTTACAAGGATGGTTTGATGATTGGCTTTGATGGCTTCTTGCATGTCTTTCTCTTGATACAAATCTTCTTCTTAATTGACTTGCAACACTTCTTCTTTCCACCAACTAATTTGAATTTCTTACAAATCTTCTTTCCCTTTGAACGTTTCAAACACTTCTTATAATACTTCTTCTTGATACATCTTGGGGGAATGACAATTGACTTGGCACAATACTTCTTCTTATTATATTTAACACATTTAGAAAGAGTCTTCTTGTGCTTACAGAACTTGATTGTCTTATGCTTGGCACAGAAGAATTTCTTCTTAATGAGACAACATTTCTTGACTGATTTTCTCTCCTTACAGTATTTAACCTTCTTATACTTGGCACATTTCTTTGCCCATGAAACAATCTTACACTTTTTAACATATCTACATTTGGCAACCTTCTTATTGTAGGAATCAACAGTGTA